ACACATGGTCCTCCATATTCATACAGCATAGCCCAAGCAGCACGTCACTGTTCTGCTATCGAGCTCACTCCACTGAACACATGGTCCTCCATATGCATACAGCATAGTCCAAGCGGCACGTCAGTGTTCTGCTATCAAGCTCACCCAAATTCAGGATGTATTGAAGGATTCACTATAGAAAAGCTAAGAAGATAGAGAGAGGCAAAAGTGGTCCTTGGTTTCTGGTTTATGCAACTTAGTATAAAATTGGGTCACTCACTGAATTAATATACCGGAAAGTGGCTAGGTTTGAGTTTACAGTTCTACATTTAAGACAACTCTGAAATTACAAGTTCAGATTTTGTCTGGGTAATGGAACCAAGACACAGAAGTCAGATCTGGGTAGGAAATACAAAGGGAAGCCATTGAAATATAGCTGGCTACTGCCATATTAACATGTGGGAAAAGAGTGAATTGTTTTTGACATTTTATTAAAAATACATTTTGTTTGGCCTTAAAAGAAAGTTTTAAGAATAGGTTAAATAAGCATAGGATTGTGATTTTGGATACTCCCTCCTCTTAGTAAGGAGTGAAAATATTTGGACAGTTCTGGATTATTGCTTTTGTCTCACCTGTCTGTAACATGTTCTTAAGCTTCAGGAAACAGTAAGAGCAGAATCATAGTTTAGAATCTTTTAAACCAGATACTATGTAGCTATCTAATTTTTTTTGGGGGGGGGTTAAATCCACTTTATTGCATAAGATTTTTAAATGCCTGGATTATTTTTAGATTGGTGACAAATTTGCAGAAATAAATCACACTGAACATTCTGGTATTAGTATTCATATCCTGCTTTTTTATAACAAATTGGATGTGAGAAATGGGTAGGGGCCTAAGAGGTTAGAAATTTTAGGCATGAAAAACAATGAATTTGTGATTTAACCAGGACAGTCAAGGGTGAAATTAAATAGATTAAGGAAATCCATTTCCAAGGTAGAGGCGTCAGCAGCTAACCTGTCTTTTCCATGGCAGACAGCTTATCCGTAGACCATAGAGAACAGGATCACTATCCCCCAAATAACTCTCTTCACTTTGATCTCCATGTGGGTATTTTGCATATATAATATATCCTTGGCTATTCCATCCAGAATTTCATTTTTTTCCCAAGACAATTCTGAGTATAGTTGTTATTAAAATGTTTTTGTGCATTTCAGAACTAATTAATTATACTTTCATGAATGCATCATTTCAAAACAAACGCTTTGGCTGTTATAAACAGTGTTTTTAATAGGTTATTTTTATGTGTCTGGCTAACATCTCTTCATTAGGATTGTGAGTCTAAAAGAAGTTAATCATCCTTTTTGGATTGATCCAAAAGTATTTGTTGTACATGAAAATGTCTTATGGGGAAAGGAGTGTTTGAAGGCTGTTAGCAGAATAAAACTTAGTGGGAGTGAGTCAAAGTCGTCTGGCTGGGAAGAAATGTGGTTGGACCTCTACTCTGGGCTGTTTCTGGAGGGACACAGGAGTAAGAATCAAGGTTCTGAGCTGTTCTCATGGAAGCATGCTCAAGGGAAGGTTGTAGTAGAATGGACTGCAGTTAAGAAAAAGTCAACCAGCCTTCTTTCAGGACCAGCCCCTGTCAGGTTCTGAAATTGCCAAGATGCGTGTAACACAGACTTGGTCTGAAGGAGCTCCGGTGAGAGAGAAAGAGGCAATGTTTTCCCAGTGAATTACCACATTTCTTAATGGGTAATTAATACAGTGAAAGGCAATGTGTACTCTAAGAACTCAGAGAAGAGGTGTTTAATCCAGACTGACAACAGGACAGATTTTTCTAGAGGAGGTGATACCTTGTCAGATTCTTGAAAGACCAAGTAAAATTAACAAGGAGAAGAGGGGAAGTGCATTTCAGCAGATGGCAAGGTATATGGCTTTAGTAGGGCTAGAAAATGAGTTGTGAGAAAGGGGAGGGGAGTGGACCTGGGTGGGGCTAAAACATGAAGACTCTAGGCATAGTTGTATAAAGAAAATCTGTCTTCACTTTTTGTTAAATTTCTTTCTTTCATCATGAGAAAGAGACCCAGAAAGACAGGTATCTTCAATAGGGTCTCATATCATAGTCATCCCTGCAGCCTTCCCAGCCAGCTAGGACCATGTGCACGTGACTTCAAACTCATCTAGACCCCATCCTGCTGTTCCATGACCCGGTATCACAGAACAGCATGCTACTGTTGCACCACCTCAGCTGGCCTGAAAAGTCTCCCTCCCCCTTTTTAAATTGCACAGGCCAGAAGAGACACATGTGTTTGTCAGATTTCTCAAGCCACTGTAGACTAAAATTTGAGCCACTATGGACCATGTAGGGTCTGGCTTAGGCTATGGGGCTGGTCCCCCAAAAATCTCCCTTTAAAGTTAATAGTATCCAGGAACCAGCAGATGGCATAATGGTTACATTGCTGGACTCCCACATGGCTGACCGCAGTTCAAGTCCTGAACCCAGTGGCTTAAACCTCACACCGGGTGCGTGTTCATGCATGCCCAATATTCTGAACAGAGAATGGAAGAGAAGGAGTTATGGTGTGGCCATCTCCCTCTTGGGTGATGATTTCTCACTTTCTGTCTCTCTGTTTCTCCAGCAAGTACATGTGCCTGTAGCAAAAATCTCTCTCTAAAAAATAAATAATGCTAATAGTACCCAAATGGCAAAAGTTTTAAAATATTTATACCCAATATCCTTTTCTTTCACTTTCTTCATCCTGCCTGCCCATAGAGTTATTGATTACATATAAGTTCCTCTGCCAATATTTAAACTAAAATACACACTAGTTAATATGTTTGCTGTAGCTGTAATGTAGTGGTAGCTGTGCGTGTGCATGTGTGTGTGTGTGTGTATGATATAGAAGTTGTGTGTGTATATATACATATATATATGATATAGCAGTGGCTATGTTTGCGTGTGTGTGTGTGTGTGTGAATGTAAAATATATAGATATATCATGCATAAAATATATGCATGTATAAAAAAGGTCAGATTTCCTTTTTTCTGTCCTTCACAAATTTCCTCTACTTCCTCTCTATCCCATTTCCATTCTCCACATGCATTGTCTCATTGTCTATTTTTCCTTTTAGTCATTCGTTTTGCTGATGAACTTATTAAATAATAGACTCCACATGTGCTACATTGGACGGTAGTCACTGGTGGTTTATGCATCTTTGTTCTGTTCTCTCTTCTTCCCATTAAAGATCCTTAAAAGGAGCTGTTGATATATTTTTGTTCCCATGTTTAGTATGTAGTAATTTATCTACAAATTTGATTGAATGAATATGTTCTGAATCAAGGAAGGAATGTCTAAATATTAGGAAAAGCTAAATTTGAGAACATGAGAATGAATAAATTCTGAGAGAACCTGGGAGATAAAGTCTGATTAAGAGTTATGATTAGAGTTTCATGGAATAGATGAAATATCCTGTTTCACAAAGAAAAGTAGAAATTTGCCATGTAGAAATAAAGGCAAAAACTTGGTCTACATAACAAAATTTTCCTAAAAGTAAAGATACATTACAGCAAGAGTAAGTGACTTGATGTAATTAAAGAACAAGGTACTTAATTCTAAGGAAAGAATGTTTGGGCCACATTATGAGCAATTCTGAACATTATTCTAAAGAAAAATTTGTTTTACTCCAAAGGAAACATCAGGTTTTCGTATAGAAGAGGGCCATTATTTTTCCTTTGATTTGAATGCATGAAGATAATTCTCTTGAAATAAATTGGTGGAATGTAGGATGAGGACAAAGCTTCTGTAAGAACAGTGATAAAACCATCGCCAGGTGAAAAACAGTGAGGAGCTAAATGGTGTCTGGAGACAGAGGAAGGAAAGGAAAGTATGCCATGAGTATGAGATCTTTGAGAACAGCAAATGCTGTCATTGAAATGCCATCTATACTGGCAAAGGTGGTGAGAGGAACTGTAGATCTCTCTGCTTTGTAAGAAGGAGCACATGGGTCAGTTAGTGGCATGGTGGTTAATTAAAGGGGCTGATTCTCATGGCCAACTATTCAGGTCCCAGACCCAGGAGCTTGATAATAATGCTGGGTGCATGTGGATTTTGGACGTGAATCCTGACAGGAAGGAAAGATGGAGGAGAAGGGATTATGGTGTCACCATGCCCCAGGGCGGGGTGCTCTCTGACTTTACATCTTTTCCTCTGCCAGGTATATGGGCCTTCTGGCAAATACAAAGTCAAAACAAACAATAAAACAAAAAAGAAAGAACATGTATCTTATTTGCCATACGGTACTTGCCAAAGTCCATATTCTGCCCATGTGGCAGCATTTTTATAAATAAACAACTTTGAACTCCTCTTCTAAAGTACACATGCATTTGCAAGGCTTTAAGCAAATTTAATCTGCTATTCTGAGGGGTGCCATGTATATGGAACTACACAACACAGCCCTCTCAACTTTGCTGAGCACCTCCCAGGGGAGTGCTTTATGTATCAAAAATGAACATTTGGCACCTTGGAGGGAAAGCCTTTACGTTTCAATTGTCATGAATCTTACAGCTCATGAAATGATTTTTCCATTTGTTATCATGTGATATTTTGCAGACTATTAGCAGCATTTGAAATAATGAATTAGTTGTCACTACTGATTAACAAGCGCTATTCTTAAGGTCTTTTCAACATAGAGCTAGTAGACTGTTCATAAGTAACATATTTGTCTTTTCATAAAAATCCTATGAATGTACTTCATGTTATTTGCAAGTCTATTCATTATACTTTGTAAAATGCTAATGATGCAGGTAATTGAGTTAATGTGTTAATATTAGAATTACATAATCTGATATAAAGAGTTTATATATCCCATTTCCACAAACAATTAGACGATGTGTCTGTTATGTATAATGCTGTTTGTATCTTTAAATCTCTTGCTGAATATATACATATATTCTTTCTTCCCCTCTTTCTTGCATTTTTCTGATCTGCTTCCATTGATGACTCTATCCTTTTGACTCCAGACTGGCAATATGAGGGTAAGATAACAAAAGTAAAAATTCCAAACAACCTCATGAGCATTGCTTGTCTGTCTTTGTTTTATTATCTTTAGAACATTATTAAAATTCTATTCACTCCCTTTAATTAGACCCTTTATCACAATTAAAGTCCAATTATGTTTGTTTCTGTTGTGAAGTTTTAATTACAATTTATCCTTGTTAATCATTCCTTTATGTTATTTCTTTGGGTTAAATTACCATCCCATTATCTCTGTCCTGAAGGACTCTGCTCTCCAGTGGTCCCTGCTGGTGTTTTCTTAGTAAGATTTGAATAGTTATATGGTGTACAAAGTGACTGTGTTATGATGTGGTAAGGAATCTATGTGGTTCTATGACACATTTTTTTAAAATAATAAAATGTTAAAAGGAATGATGCATATTATTTTGGGTGGTAGAGTTTTTGTTTTCTTTTTAAATGTCATATACATCTTAATGAATTGAATCTGAGGGCAAGTAGCCCTGCAGTTGCTAATTCTTACTTTTGGTTATTTTATCTCTTTAGATTGCAAACTAGCTAGGGGAGGACCTCCAGCGACCATAGTTGCTATTGATGAAGAGAGCCGGAATGGTGAGTGAGCTTAATGTCTTACAACTATCTTATCTAAGAGGGCTTTCTTCAAATTTCAGTTCTCAATTTTCCATGAGTAGAGGTAATAAGTGAAAACTTCAGTCCAAACCCAAATAATTATCTTCTAATATCTCCCCTATATGGGTTTAAATTATGCTATTCCTTGAAAATGCTTTGCTTGGATTATTATATAAATCCTTCAATGAGTGGAAATGCTTAGTTTTGATAAAGAAGAAAATATTTCTTACAGGGTTAGCTCAAAAATGTGTCTAGATATATGGGCTGGGATTTTTCTTTGTCAATAGGTAGAGCTGACTCTCATGCATATAATCATCTAACTGAACTACAAAGTGTATCTCCAGGGAAGTGAACCATGAGGTAAGTCTTATACTGCTAACTTAAATTGGCTGAATCTGGTAAGGATTAAGATCTACGGCCAACATCATTTTAAAAGTCTTTGTTGCTCTGTGAAGTGTAGAGTTTAGTGAAAATTACATAGTCATAAGAGACATACGTTTCTGTTTTCGTTTTTTTATTTTTTTTAAAGTTGTGGTATTACGGATTCTAGGCTCACTGGAATATTGCTGCTTTGTGAAAGTCCAGACTGAGTGCAGCACTTTCCATGTACCTAACATGTGTACAAACCTGGGGCTCTCACTATTTGATATTTTTGCATTAGTTATGACAGAAATTTGATGGCTCATTTAGAGGAGAGGGAAAATCTGCTGCCAGAAATGTCTGAACTACGTGCCATACTTGTCTGGGAAAGATGGGAAACATAACCTCTGCACACACAAAAACTTCAGGTAACTTCACGTAGTAGGCAGCCATTAAATTATAAAAAAATAATTTATGGACAAAAAGTAATTTTGTACAGCTTGAAAAAAGGTTTTCATAGAGATAGCTACATGGTCAAGAGAGTTAGATTTTTATTTTCATTTTACTTGCCAATGGTAACTTAATCTTTCTAGTTCAAGATAACTGTCATTTTCTTTCCTAGGACTTGTTAAAACAAGGGATTATTTTTTTGGAGCGGTTTTTGCTACAGGGCACGTGCACTTGCCAGACAGACAGAGAGAGACAGAGAGATAGAAAGCGAGAAATCACCCCCCAGGGGGATGGCCATGCCGCAATCCCTTCTCCTCCAGTCTCCTCTTGGGATCTTGGGCACACACGCACATGTGCCCAGCGTGAGTTTTAAGCCACTGTGTCCGGGACGCGGACCACAGTCGACTACGTGGGAATCCAGCGGCATAGCCATTATGCTAACTGCTGGTCCCCACCAAGACATTTTTAAACTGTACATTTAGTCAGACTGTTAGCTATTTCTGTTTTATTTATTTATTTATTTATTTGAGAGCTTTTAAATACAAAAATCTGAAATTAAAAAAAAGAATCTATAGCTGATTAGATATGGCGATTGGGAATGGTTAATGAGAAAACCAAACATGCTTGGGAAGAGAGAACATGGCAAGAGGTTAAGAACAGAGGAAGAAGTCTGGATTTCCCCCCAGGCTGTCTGCAATAATGAACAACTAATACCTAATTCCTAGCAAGTTCTTAGTCAAGAAGATAATTTTCCTTATTAAAACCAAAAATAAATATTAGAATCTTTTTTGGGCAGAAGAAACATGGCAGAAGAAATAATCTCCAAAACTCTCTGAATTTTAATGTATGAATAGTTTCTTCCTTGCTGAGCTAGGTGGTGTGCATTTTCATTCCAGCTATTAGGAAGGCTGAGGCAGGAAGACTAAGTTCAAGGCTAGTCTGGGCAACCTAGCAACACCCTGTGTTTAAAAAAAGCAGTAAGAAAGTGAGTTTAAAGAGTTTTTACCTCTACTAGGTAGCAGGAAAATGGCTACCTCTTAGGGTTCTGCTTCTATTTCAAACCATTCTAAGCAGGGGGCTGTGGTCTGTGGTACATTTTGTCTATTATTTCTGTGATGGGACTTCCATTGGACTTGTCTAAGGTGTACTTCCTCTCACTTTCAAGCATTGTTCTAGATTTATACTTAATAGAAAAAAAAAGGAATTATGTCAATTGGCTTATTGGAGAATATTTTCCCCTGTAATTCGATTTCTATTTACATACTTCTAAAACTTTTATTGTGTATGTAATACTTGAAGCGGTTCACTTCATATGGTTTTACTGTGCTGCATTACAGATGCTACTTTTACACACTGGAAGAACTGACTCGGACTTTTATTTTCTTACACATTCTTTAGATCAGCCAAAAATATCCACAGTGTTACTGGCTTCTATTAAAATAGAATTGAAAATGTCTACACTAAAGGTTTGCAATACTCGATAACCATAAAATGTCTCCTAATTATATTTTTAAAAAATCAATCCCTATTGGCAAAAAAATCATATGGAGTTCAAGTCACTGTGATACATTTAAGTAAGTTGGAAAGAAATTCAAAATGTGTCTTCAGAAAAGAAACAACTCAAAATACTATAACAGAAAAAGATTTCTGTCTCACATGTAGAACTATGGCTTACTATGGTTAACTATTTTTACACAGAACAAACCTGTGTTTCCTTAATGTTTCAGAATGAAAACTGTCTTTTTGATCAGCAAGAAAAAAAAAACCCAGTAAACATGACAGAAGGTTGATCTATCTATTTTTTTCTTATTGTTAACTAATTCTGCAAAACATATACTCTGAGTTGAAATAAATCATTTAGTTTTACAAAATAAATCTGTTTTAATGTGTGATTTTGTAAGAGCTTATTTTGGCATCCCGGTAATTATAGCCACAGCAATGATGATGTTTTATCCTCTATTTGCTGATTAGATCCTGCTTTTCAAAGGAGCTCAGGAACTCCACAGAGATGTTGCCATAGCAGTGCTATCGAGTAGCATGTGGTGAAAGTTCAATATTTGTGTTTCAGGAGATTGTGACTTGATATAGTGTAGTAATGTTATGCTCCTTACTTGGCATGTTTTGTAGCAACTGCCAACTACTCAGAGTGCTGCCAAAGTTATTTGAGTGTCATCACAAGAAATAAAAATACCGACCCAGAAAACAAATGTTTTGCATTTTTCTTTTACATTAAATTTCTAAAAATAGAGTGATCAAATGAACCTCTGCCAGATATTATAATGTACTGTGTAATCATCCTTGTCTTAAAAGTCTGAGGGAAATGATCCATGAAAATGCTTTTCATATTTTTCTTTAGGCAGTATAGCAAACTTCCTAATAAGACGGTTATTTCTGACTCTGGTCTTAAACTCTCTTACATTCTTTTCTGAATCCTTTAACTGGTAGTAATAACACATGTGGGTATTTTATTTTGCCAGTATGATGGACATTTACTTTGAATGTTTTCAAAGCTTCTTAAAGGCATAACAATGTTTTAAAAGAGAGGTTTCTGCTATAGGGTGCATGTGTTCACTAGAAAGACAGAGAGAAAGAGACAGAAAGCAAGAAATCACCTCCAAGGGGGGATGGCCACACCACAATCCTTTCTCCTCCAGTTTCCTCTCAGGGTTTTGGGCATGCACACACATACGCCTGGCAGGAATTTTAAGCAGCCCAGTCCAGGACTCGAACCGCAGTCAACTACATGGGAGTCTAGTATTTATTGTACCATCTGCTGGTCCCATGGGCATAGCAATTTTTAAAAGTTTGCTATAGAGCACATGTGCTCAATGGAAGAGAGAGAGAGAGAGAGAGAGAGAGCGAGCGAACACTCCCCTAGGGAAATAGCCATGTTGTAGTCCCTTCTCCATTCTACTCTCAGGATTTGGGGCACATGCACACATGTTCCTGGTGCATCTTCCAAGCTGCCAGCTCGGGAACTCAAACAAAGTGTGTAGTCAGTCATGTGGGATCTAGATGCCTTAACCACCATGCCAAAGGCTGGTCTACGGCCTTGTTTATTTGTGTTTTAGGTTTTTGCCATAGGGAATAAGCTTGCCAGAGAAAGACAGAGATACATTGAGAGGGAAAGTGAGAAATCGCTCCCAGGGAAGATTGCCACTTGTAATCCCTTCTCCTCCATTCTCCTCCTGGAATTTTTGGCACAGACATAATTTTCAAGCATCCAGGTCCAGGACTTGAACATGGTCAGCCATGGGAGGAACCCAGTGCCTTATGCCACTGCCAAACTAGTAACTTTGTTGTAGACAATTTGTCTTTGATTCACTTTATTAATATCTATTGCTATATAATCTCTATTGCACAATACAGTCTTTACTAGAACATAGAAATGCTAAGTTTTGATTAATACAAATAGTTTGCTTTTGTTTTTCGAATTTGTACCTAATTCCTATATGAGTCACTGAGCTACGTTTATAGGATGAACATCTTTGCCCGTGACTGAATCTTTCAAGATTTTTACATGCTGTGGGATGGCAGTATTTCCTTTTTGTCAATATGTATGCTAAATGCCCTTACATATATGCATACATTTGAAAGAATTACACATTTAACAGTGGGGATCCACAAAGTTTTTTTCAGCCCAGACTCTGTCAGATTCTTTCTGTTCTAGTTTTTGTCCTCAGCAACACTTTGACGACAAAACTAATTACATTATCCTCAGTCTGACCCAGGAACTAATTTTCTTCTTAATTACCAGAAAACCAAACTTATGTTTGTAAGGAGACAAAAGGACGTACAAAGACACGCGGTGATTCCTGACAACCACCAGAAAGCTCTTAGGCTAGCATGTAGAGAGTGTTAATGTATGATTACATTTTGAGTGAAGAATGTATATAGAGAAACCTAAAACATGTTACCTATGTGTAATAATATAATAATGTCTAAAAAATATCTTTTTAGTTTCACTGGACTCTGAGATAGGTATGGCACTGAACCCTTACTGGAAGGAGAGGCCAGGGGCAGTTACACTGGAACTATTCTAAGACCTGGCTCTGAGTACTAGCCAAATGAGAGTCCTTGGCTGTTTTACAACAGCTATAGATTAGCATTCAAACTGGCTTTGGAACCACTGGCTTGAACTAATTTTCAGTATCTGCATAAATATATAGGCT